AAAAAAAAAAAAAAAAAAAAGAAACAGAGATGAGGTCTCACTATATTGCCCAGGCTGGTCTGAAACTCCTGAGTTCAAGGGATTCTCCCACCTCGGCCTCTCAAAGTGCTGGGATTACAGGATGAGCCACCACGCCTGGCCTGGAAAGTTCTTGACAAGTTCAAACAACTGCCTTTGGCCCAACCTCCTGAGAAAAGGGAACGTAAAGCCTTAATTCTATAGAAGAAAAAATGACTTAAAATAAGGAAAAGAAAAAAAATCCAAATTAATATTCCAAATAAATGATCCCACTCCTCAGGAAACCTTAGGCCCCCACTTGCTGCTCGCTGCCCCTCACTAAGCCCCCCACCTCCCCTGGCTGTGGCTCTCACTCTCAAGAGAGGTCGTCACGGCTGGGCATGGTGGCTCACACCTGTAATTCTAGCACATTGGGAGGCCAAGGCAGGCAGATCACATTGAGGCTAGGACTTCGAGACCAGTCTGGCCAACATGGTGAAGTCCCATCTCTACTAAAAATACAAAAATTAGCCAGACATACTGGTGGGTGCCTGTAATCTCAGCTACTCCACAGGCTGAGGCAGGAGAATCACTTGAACCAGAGAGGTGGAGGTTGCAGTGAGCTGAGATCATGGCACCACAACAGAGCAATACTCCATCTCAGGAAAAAAATAAAAGTCATCAGCAGCCTCAGGCCCTGTGCCAGTGGCAGAGCTAATGAGATAGGACTTATCTTCCTCCAGCCCACAGGTCCAGGCATGAAGCCCGGGTGACGGGAGAGGAAATCCAACAGAGGGATTCTTTGTCTTCCCTGCCTCTCCTTGTTTCCAACTTTCTGTCCGAATAGTTGTAATTCTTGCAAAGGAGAAAAGAACAAAAATAATGACCTAAGGGGTAGCAAGAGATGCCCAGGTGATCACCAGGACATGGTTCTGTGCTCCAGAATCATGCAGGGCACTCTGGCCATTCCCCTGCCTCCAAGCAGAAGCCCAGGCTGACAAATAAAGACAGCTGGGAATAGGCAGTTTCTTTTTCTTTTTCCTTTTCTTTCCTTTCCTTTTTCCCTCCCCTCCCCTCCCCTCCCCTTCCCTTTCCTCTCTTCAGCAGACTCTCACTCTGTCACTAGGCTGGAGTGCAGTGGTGTGATCTCAGCTCACTGCAGCCTCCGCCTCCCAGGTTCAAGCAATTCTCTTGCCTCAGCCTCCTGAGTAGCTGACGCTACAGGCATGCGCCACCACACCCGGCTAATTTTGTATTTTTAATAGAGATGGGGTTTCCTCATGTTGGCCAGGCTGGTCTGGAACTGCTGACCTCAGATGATTCACCCACCTCAGCCTCCCAAAGTGCTGGGATTACAGGCGTGAGCCATCGCACCCAGTCAGCTGTTTCTTTTTCTAACATCCACAGGACAGAAAAGTTTTTCCTCGAAGCTGACCACAGCCCTCTTGAGTAGTCTTTAGTTTTGGGCATTTTGTGCTGCCCCCGAACCCTGCTTCCCAAGCCAACCCCAGAGTTATGCCCTCCTACTCCCTTCACAGATGGACCCTGTCCAGAAAGCTGTCATCAGCCACACGTTTGGGGTCCCCTCCCCTCTGAAGAAGAAGCTCTTCATTTCCTGTAACATCTGTCACCTGAGGTTCAACTCAGCGGTGAGAAGTAGCAAAAGCAGGTCTGGGGAGGGGGCTGGGCAGGGAGAGGGCTGGAGGCTGGGCTGCCAGGGTCTTTCCGGGAGGAATACCAGTGGCGAAGGGGCTGTGGGCTGTATTTCCCATCCCTGGTTGCAGGAGAGGCACTCTTGGTCCTTTAACCATCGAATCTGTCCTCCCTCCAGATTCTTCTGCCCCTTCTCCTTCTGCCCAGCTGTAGCCCGGTAGGATTCCATTTTCTTCCCCCAGGCCCCTCTCCTGTGTTCTGGATTCTTCTGCAAGAGAGAAGACTACCCTTCCTCCACTCTGGGTTCCAGGGGCCACCCCATCAGTTCCTAAGGCACCTGAGAGGATCATGCCCATTACCTGAAATAATAGCTCTCATGATACATCTGTGAGATAGGTAGAGGCAGTTTCTTTTTTTTTTTTTTTTTTTTTTAGACAAAGTCTCACTCTGTCACCCAGGTGGGAAGGCAGTGGTGCGTTCTTGGCTCACTGCAACCTCCACCTCCCAGGTTCAAGCGATTCTTGTGTCTCAGCCTCCTGAGTAGCTGGGATTACAGGTGTGTGCTACCACACCTGGCTAGTGTTTTTGTTTGTTTGTTTTTGTTTTCTTGGCAGAGACCAGGTTTTACCGTGTTGCTCAGACTGGTCTCAAACTCTTGGGTTCAAGTGATCCACCCGCCTTGGCCTCCCAAAATGCTGAGATTACAGATTTGAGCCACCATGCCTGTCCTAGAGGCGCTAATATAATCTATGATTTTCAGATGAGGAAACTGAGCCTCAGGGAGGTTAAGTGCCTTGCCTAAGACCACATAACTGATGAGTAGCAAAGCTGGGATTTGAACCCAGGCCTGGCTGACCCCAAGGCCTATGACTTCCTACTACATCCTACCCCAAGGTAGAGGAGGAACCTCATTCTGGCCTCCCAGGGAAGGTCTGCCTCCTGTCAGGCAATCTGGAGTTTCAGCTAGATGTCAGCAGCACTGCTGTAGTGTGGCATCCAGGGAGGGACCATGGGGGCCTGTCTTTCCTACGTTTCAAGGTGGGCCAGGGAGAAGCAAGTGAGGACCCTTGGAGGGAGGTCACTGACAGATCAGATTTGGGATTTCCCTTCGGGCCTTCTGGTTCCATGAGTCCTGCAAGAGATGGAGGAGAGGCCAGGTGAGGTGGCTTACGCCTGTAATCCCAACACTTTGGGAGGCCGAGGTGGGCAGATCACTTGAGGTCAGGAGTTTGAGACCAGCCTGGACAACGTAGTGAAACCCCAATACAAAAAGGAAATCAGTCAGGTGTGGTGGCAGGTGCCTGTAATCCCAGCTACTCAGGAGGCTGAGACAGAAAATGGCTTAAACCTGGGAGGCGGAGGTTGCAGTGAGCCGAGATTGTATCACTGCCCTCCAGCCTGGGTGACAAATTGAGACTGTCTCAAAAAAAAAAAAAAAAAAAATAGATGGAGGAGAGAATTTGTTCTGAGGGAGGAACCATGGCTTCTTCCTGCCAGACTCCAGGCACAGTGCCTGGCAAATAGCAAATGCTCAGTAGTGATTTGTTGAACAAATGAACAAAGGGATGAATGTCCTGGGGAGCATTTGCCCCAAAGCGTGAGGACTGCTCTGCTTTCTCCATTTGTGCATTTATTTATTTATTTTTTAAAGACAGGGTTTCACCATGTTGGCCAGGCTGGTCTTGAACTCCCGACCTCAGGTGATCCGCCTGCCTTGGCCTTCAAAGTGCTTGGATTACAGGCATGAGCCACCACGCCCGGCCCCATTTGTGCATTTTTACACTTGACAACTAACATTTCACTGAGCATCTACTCTTCGGACTCGGCTCTTGTAATTCATGTTCCCATGTAATTCTGACAGCCCCATGAGATCAGTATTATCATCACAGAGTTTGTGGGTGAGGAGACTCAGGCTCAGACAGATGATGGGACTTGCCTAAAGATGCAGTAAGTGGCTGAGTCAGGTCCAAAGCCAGAGGCTGCCTGCCTTGGAGCTCATGTGTGAGAACGCATTCTATAAACCTCAGAGCCACACGTGGTACGGTGATAATGACAAACAAGGGCTTGCCCTTTGTGTGCACCTGTAATCCCAGCTACTCAGGAGGCTGAGGCAGGAGAATCCCTTGAACCTGGGAGGCAGAGGTTGCAGTGAGACGAGCCCTGCCTCCCTTTGACCTGTTCCCCTGCTGGGCTCTAATTCATGGATGCAGCATGTGGACTCAGCCAATGAATGGTGACCTCTTGCCCTCCCCTCCCCAGAACCAGGCTGAGGCACATTATAAAGGCCACAAACACGCCAGAAAACTCAAGGCTGTCGAGGCTGCCAAGAGCAAGCAGAGGCCACACACCCAGGCCCAGGATGGGGCTGTGGTGTCCCCAGTCCCAACGCTGGCCAGTGGAGCCCCTGGAGAGCCACAGAGTAAAGGTCAGTCCTGAGCTCTTCTCTTCCCCTCATCCCCACTCCCAATCTGGTTTCCTACAGGAGGTGGAGAGATTTCTGCTTATTCCTTGTGCTTGTGTTGGAGTATTGCACACAGACAGTCAAAGGCACAGAGGTGAACCACTCAATGCATTTTCCCAAGCTGAACACACTCAGATCAGGAAACATGTTACCAGCACCCCAGAAACTTGTCTTGTACCTGCTCCTGGTCACTACCTTGAAGTATTCATTTCCAAGGGCTGCTTTCACAAATGACTACATTTGTGAAGTTAGGCACAGTAGTCACACTGTGTGATGGTTAACACTTTGGGAGGCTGAGGCGGGAGGATTGCTTGAGCCCTGGAGTTTGAAACCAGTCTGGGCAACACAGTGTGACCCTGTCTCTACAAAAAATTTATTAGCCAGGTGTGATGATGCACACCCGCAGTCCCAGCTACTCAGGAGGCTGAAGCAGAAGGACCCACTTAAGTCCAGGAGGTCAGGGCTAGCTTAGGTGACAGAGCAAAACCTTGTCTCTAGCCTAAAAAAAAAAAAAAAAAAAAGAGACTACAACCTGGGTGGCTGAAAACAACGGAAATGTATTTCCCACAGCTCTGGAGGCCAGAAGTCTGAAGCCAAGGCACTGGCAGGGTTGGTTTCCTCTTGGGGCTCAGAGGGAGAAGGTGTCCCGTGCGTCTCTTCTGGCCTCTGGTGTTGTGGGCACTCCTTGGCTCTCCTTGGTGGGTAGACACATCACTCCAATCTCCGCCTCCATCTCCACACTACATTCTCCCTTGTGCGTCTCTGTGTCTTCACAAGCTCTTCTTGTAAGGGTACCAGTCACTAGATTAGTCCCACCCAAACCCAGCGTGACCTCATCTTAACTAATTTTATCTGCCAAGACCCTGTTTCCAAATAAGGTCACATTCTGAGGTTCCAGATAGACATGAATTTTGGGGGAGAGCTATTCAACAAATTACAGCCCCTCTGATGGTAATTATGATCCTGAGTTTTCTTAGCATAGATCAATTTTACCTATTTTTGGTGAATCATAGAGTAGGTAGGGTTTTGTATCTGTTTTGTTTTGTTTTGAGATGGAGTCTCGCTCTGTCACCCAGGCTGGAGTGCAGTGGCATGATCTTGGTTCACTGCAGCCTCTGCCTCCCAGGTTCAAACGATTCTCCTGCCTCAGCCTCCCGAGTAGCTGAGACTACAGGAGCCCACCACCATGCCTGGCTAATTTGTGTATTTTTAGTAGAGATGGGGTTTCACCATATTGGCCAGGCTGGTCTCAAACTCCTGATCTTGTGATCTGCCCGCCATGGCTCCCAAGTGTTGGAATTATAGGCGTGAGCCACTGCATCCAGCCTATGCCACTATTTTTTAAAAATCTGCTCTTCTGTTGGTGGACATGTGGGTAGTTTCAGCTATATGCTATTATGAATAGTGTTCTATGAACATTCTAGTACATCGTTTTGGTGATCTCTGCTTATTTAAGTAAGCAAATAAGACTATGAGGGCTGTGAGGGCTTTTGGAGACCACTGTGTCCAACTTTACGATTTCAGATGGGGAAACTGAGGCCCAAGTCTGCCCAGTGAGTTGGTAGAAAAGTGGGGCCTGGGCTGGGTGCAGTGGCTCACATCTGTAATCCCAACGCTTTGGGAGGCCAAGGCAGGTGGATCACGAGGTCAGGAGTTGGAGACCAGCCTGTCCAACATGGTGAAACCCTGTCTCTGCTAAAAATACAAAAATTAGCTGGGCATGGTGGCACTCACCTATAATCTCAGCTACTTAGAAGGCTGAGGCAGGAGAATTACTTGAACCCGAGAGGCGGAAGTTGCAGTGAGCCGAGATTGCGCCTTTGCACTCCAGCCTGTGCAACACAGCGAGACTCTATCTCAAAAAAAAAAACAACCAAAAAAGGATAGCTGGGTGTGGTGGTGCATGCCTGTAATCCCAGCTACTTGGGAGGCTGAGGCAGGAGAATCACTTGAACCTGGGAGGTAGAGGTTGCCGAGATCGTGCCATTGCACTCCAGCCTGGGCA